GCCAGAGCTCAGAATTCTCGAAATATATACTTGGACAATCTTCTGCTCTTTTTTCTGACGCCCTTAATTTTTCTGAATGCCTGATCTGCAAGTCATACCGATTTAAATTTTCTTGCTTGCTGTTCAATTCACACAGATTTTTTGAATACACACTTGGTGTGTAACCCCTTTGCTATGATACACCTCTAAATTTAGCCCTGATGTTTTAGTTTGTAGTTTAAATGGATGTCATGATGTTCCATAAATTTTTCTCCTAGAGAAATTACAGGTGTTCATTTTGAAGCAGTTTGTACTATCAACCGTGTTAAAATGCACGATTTTTACACAGCAATGAAAAAAAGTTGGAAAATCCTTATATAAGATGGCTGCTTTTGTTCTTGAAATGACTGAACCAGACTGCCATCTATTGGAAAATAAATATTTTTTTTAATTAAACTTTTTTTTCAAAACTGAAACTGCTATAATTTGTTGTCAAAATTGATTTTGCAAGCAATCATACTTAACTCAGCTTGAAAAGGAAACACCTTAGTTAACTGAACTGTGATAAAATCAAGGATTTTCCTATATCTTTTTCCAGCTCATGTTTTCTGGAACGTGTTTTGAAGCACAGCTCCTTTTCTGACTTGCTCAACAATGAAATTATAGGTTTTTCTGAAAGATTTCTATTTATCAAACAGAAAAACTGTAACATGTCAGCACTGAGCAATACACAAGTATAAAGCTCTCCCAGCTTGCCTGTGCAGCAACTGCCAGGGCTTTCCACGTCTTTGCATACATAGGGGAACTAAAGAATGTATTCAAGTCACAGTGACCACAATAGGAAAAACAAAGACAGGAACTAGGAGTAAAAACCCTATGAAGCCACCGCCAAACCCCACCCAGCCTGAACATCTTTGAGAAAAACTAGGAATTCCAACTAAAATGATACCTAGCTGTATGTAGGCCTTCTTGAGCTCACTCTGAAGTAGAACCACAAAACTATGTTCAATCTGGCCTTTAATTTCAAGAAGACAATGAACAGGGAGTTGTTGTCTGCTGTGTTGCAATATACATGTTTTAATGACTGGTGAAGATATACTAGGAAACGTGGAATTAATATTTTCCATCAGAAGTACATTTAAACACAGCCAGAGCTGAGAAAGAAAATACTGAAATTATAAAGTTTCCAGTGCAGTTTTAACTTGACTTCCTTTAGTTTATTCTTTATAATGTACTCTTCAAATAAAAGCTAACATTAACTTACACTTATCTAATTTTCTGCTATTCAGCAAACAAGCATTCAGTTTTCACCCTTTTCATTAAACATTCTCCCCATTCAGGAAGCTAACACAATCTGCTTTTCCAGAACCCCAACATTTTCACAGTTTTTCCTTCAACTTTTGGAATAGAAGCGTCCTGTGGTGACATTTTTTTTCATCTCCAGATCTGTTTCATGTCTACACTGTGGTGTCTCCTATTACTCTCCTTACTTTTACTTACTACTCCATTGTAGTCTCCCTCTCCCAGATGTTCATGTCTTCTAGTTCATAAGATCCTGACTTTCAGTCTTCCTATTCAGCTCTTCCATGTCCTGAGGAAACTTAGGAATCACAGCTAACTAGTAATTCGGAACTCAGGAGACTAAGCCCAAAGTTTTTTAAATTTTTTTTTTAATTTTTCACCTAACCTCAGAGCTGTGCAAACTCTTCTTTCCATTTGACTTTAAAATACTGTGAGCACATGAATCTCTGAGGTTTTAATGCCTTACGTCACACATCAGACACCTGGTCATTAGAAATATATAAAGTAATAAAAACACGTAATGTTTTCAATGCACAACTTGATGAAAAGAAGTAGTCCTTTATTCCAGTCCTTCCAGAACAACTTGCTGGGTGGCTGGATAACTGATTTTCTGATAACACAGCAAACAGAAGAATGGATTAAATTCTTTCCTTGACCTAAAGACTTCCAACCACAACTTCTTCAAAAGAAAAAGTAGTATTCTACAAGTGCTGTATCACTGAGCAACAAACAATGCAAGACACCTGAGACCAGAAAAGGTACAGATTTTGCCTGTCAATAAGGCATCCTAAGTCCTGCTCTCTGGATTGTACTGGTATTTTTCCAATGGTTGTGCAGTTCAGAAAGAATACTAAATGGGATCACAGCCTGATGACCAGTACTTTATTTGGGAGACTATAAAACCAGTGTTAAATGGTTTTATGCCATGGAAAGAATGCAATGTCACTCTTCCAGACAAAGCCTTTTACTGTCAAGTTATTGCATTAAAAAGCAGGCATCCCCACTACCCTTACACTAAACAAAAACAGTGAGCCCTGCTCCTTCAAGCAAAAGAGACTGGTGCTTGAGATTCAGGAGAGAATTCCAGGCTATGGATCCCAATAGACAGACACCACTTTCTGCAGTCCTAAACCAACCTAAATCTAATTTAGCCAGAACAGTACCACAGGTTTTTTTGGCCCTTTCAAAAGAGCCAATTGCTAAAAAAAATGCTTTGAAATGCACTCTGCTTCCTGATGCCTTCTCTTTCCCAAGCCCATGCTATCCTCAGGAGGTGGCTCCTGTTGCTCATTGGTCCAGCTCCCTAAGTTACTATTCCAATGAGAAATTTCACAGTCTTGGCCTCCTACTTCTCTGAACAATAGCAAGTTTCTTTGCAGGACCTCCCTGCGGTCACGAAGTGTCATGGCTTGATGTTTGGAACCTCTTCAGACCACTGGACTACAAGAAGTCAAAAAACCTGCACCAGTCATCATCTCTGGAACCAATATTTGTTCAGGACATGGTATCATTAACACATTATCAGCAGGGACTTGATTTCTACACCTTTTCAGAGCAGATGCTGGCACAGTCAGCACTAAAAGTTGGGGGAAAACTGCTGATTTGAACCTGAAGTAACTGCTCACTCGTGGAGGCATACCAGGTGCAGTTCTCAGCCCTGTGTTGGAGCTGATAACAGGGAAAGGCAACACTTGGTTCTGCAGGCAAAAAGATCCTGTGCTACCCCTCCCATACAGTCTTGGCACGTGCAGCAGAAACACATGCAAGCTGAACAAATGCAGATAACAGAGAAAAACCCACTTTACCTACTGAGATTTTTACAGAAGATTCCCATGAAAGAGAAAGTTAAAGTCAGAATAAGCTGCAAGAATCTTTCTCTTCTTTAATACATATCCAAGAAATCTACTTCTGACTCCCCACATCTATATACATCTCCACTTCTTTCTCTCTGTATCTTCATGTTCTTACTGAAGACATTTAAATGAATATTTATGTAGTATCACCATACTGTCACATGTCTTCCACAACCATGCTTGCTGGTCCTGCCTCCAGAGTAGTTTGGCAGCCTTCACCTTTTTAACCATTTTTAGAGCTAAACATATCTCTTAGGGCTTCTTCCCAATTACTCTTTGATGGCTCCTTCCAGTGCATGTAGGTTTTTGTATCACCCCTGCACTACAGAGGGAGCCTAAACACCAAGGGAAGGCAGCACTTCCCCAAAATGAAAATACACTGTGCCTTCCATTTCTTGATTCAAGGCAGCCAACTGGCAACTAAACAGACTGAGTAACCCTAAAATACATTTCAAAATGAAATGGAGGCTATAGAACAAACAGGAAAATCCCACATCACAGCAGAGTCCTCTCCATACATGCCTGTATATTTGGGTTTACTCTAGGGGAAAATATGTTCTGCCCTCCATCCTGACTTCATGTTGGGAGTATGCACCCATCATCCTGATTTCAGTTTTCTTAGAAAAAAAAGCTGGATGCATTAGGAGGAGAGCCTATAAAATGCCTTAAACAGTCCCCAATTTTGAAGATTTGTTTTCACATCTAGTTCAATTTAAAATAAATGAAATCTCAAAAAAATGTATTGCCTAATTTACCTTTGTATATCCCTGCTGCACATAAATTACAGATTTAGTGTCTGAATACTTTCTATTTACATTGTATTTTATTTAGGTCTGTAAAAATTTCAGTCGGAGTAGACAGATTTATATGGAATACATTTTCTGCAAAACAGCAGCTGAGCAGATTTAAATAGCAGTTAGCACCTAAATTCAGAGAGACGCTAGAAGAGTGTCTAAAGTGCTTAAATGGGATTAGTACCTTGTTCAAACTGAGTTCAATATGAGTTATATACCTAAACATTCAAACATCTAGAAGGGCTGTACAAAAGTACCGCATTTCAGGGTAGCTAACCATCTCTGTAAATCTCATTTTTTTTCTACATACACTGTAATAAATGCTCCAGAACATGAAGTCCAAAACTTGTCATGGTTTTCCTCACATAGGAGAGCATAATTTTTCTTAATTTACAAACAACACTAATTGAAATTTAACGCTTAGCGTTCTTCCTCTGTTCTTTGCTTTATTTCCTGGGCAATCTCATTTGCTTATTGAGGAAGAGAATTCAATTTAAAAAAAAAAAAAAAAAAAAAAAAAGGCTTGTTACAGTAAGAAAAAATGCACCTTAGAGCACTTTATTCACTGTATTTGCAAATCACTGAAGTTTCACAACCACAACAATTTTCAGTATTAGAGACTCGGTCTTCAACATCATTAGGTTACTGAGAAACCTATACGGTAACAAAACATAGAAGAATTATAACTGAAGATGCTAAGCTGCTTCTTTTGGGAGGGCACATCTGATCAGATTCTGCAAACATTTAGTATTCAATACAGTATTGAGCATACTGATTTCCATTCATTTTTCAAAAAACACCCTTCCTGTCCTCCCCATGCTCAAAACAAGTAACGCAAATGTTTAGTCATATTAGTGGTGTCATAAAAAGACATTCTGAGGTGTGGTAAGCAATATCTTTGTAAAATAAGGGGAACATTACAGTCTAAATCTGTAAGAAGCACATGCTATATTACTTCTATTACATTGTTAACCTTGTACTATTCTCGCTCTTGTACTATTTCTTTCTTCACTGTGCCATAAATAAAGCAGATGTAACTGAATATATTGTCTTTGTATCCAATCTTACTTACTACATTAAGCTTGGTTTGGCTTCCACTGGTCATAAGTTCTTCCTCTGATACTTTACTAAAATTATCCAGATAATGGTCTGATATTGTATGAGACAGATCTTCAAAAGAATATTCCTTTTCTTGGCACAATTTGATTTCATCTAAGAGCTTTGATAATTCTCCAGTCACAGCTTCACCTTTAAAAACAGACACACCATTAGTCAGTAATTAGCATGCCAGGGGTAATTTATGCCTAAAAAGGAAATACACATTCCTTAAATTTATTGAGTATCTGTTATTTCCATGCCTTATCTTCTAAACAACAATCTTCATGCACAATTCTCCTCTCAAAAATAATGGCATATCACTCCAGAGTTGGAATTTGCTAGAGGCAATCTATATACTTCTGCATTGCCCCATACCTTGCATTTAATTAGGATGAATTACAATATATACTTACCCTTTCTGTTTTCTAATCCTGAAAACTCTCTAGAAATAGCAACTATCCAACAGTGTAAAATTAATCCTGAAATAGAAAGTTTCTACAAACACAGAAAATCAATGTCCCATACTCTGCATCGGGTTCACCTTTGCTGCTGTAATCAATTAATATACAACACAGGTTCCATAAACTGTGACTAGATTGGAACTGAGTTTAAGAGTGCACACCTGTCCCATCCAAGTAGCTACGCTTTATAAACAATTCTTGCTCACTTTACTAGTATTAAATAGAATGCTAGAAGGATATACTGGGCAAACCCACACGTTTAAAACATACCTTCCCACAGCAGCCTACCAGAAACCTACGTTTAGTGCATTCTGCCTTGTGTTTCACAGTTTTCTCCTTAATTTATCCTTAATTAGGAAATCTAACAGAAGAGTAAGGCAATGAGTTTTATATGTCTACACTAACTGAGGGCCACTATTAGAAACAGTGGTAGTAGTAAGTCCTAGAATCACACTGAGTAACTATTGTGCAAATAGTCCACCATCAGTAGCAAAAGTCTACAGACTAAAAAGCTACTCATTATGAACTGCATTAGGTTCTGATTACCTACTGCATGTGTGTTACACAGCAGTAACAGCCACGAAAATACTAGTGAAACCCAAGTTTTTCCAGGAGCAAATAAGAAACCCCTTCTCCTGACTCAGTTTACAACAGTCATAGACTTGATAAAATACAGATACTTGCATGTTACTCCATCTTTGGAAATAAAATGCTGAAAAGGAAAAAGAAAGTGAGCATATAAAGCTCAGAATACATAAAACAGACAAGTATATTCATATAACTAAAGAATCCCCGGATAAGACTATATTTGCTCAGTCTAGAGTGTTTTTCTTTTTAGTTTTTCTTCATAGTTACTGTTTGTTATGCTTAGTAAACAAAAATACTCAAAAATATTTTTAAAATTAAACCGATGGCCAGTTATTACTGAAGTTTTCTGAGCCAAGAACAGTTGTTAATTAAAAGCATTTAACTGCCTTTTAATATCTAATTAACAGAAATGTTGCATTCAAAACTCGTTACTCTCATTCAACGGTAACTTTGCACAAAACAAGTAAATTCAGCAAAAATATAATCAGGTTTATTTATACTCCGCTTTTTAATTAGAAAATTGAAATTAATCCAGATTAATATTATAATAACTAAAAATTGAAAATACCTAAATATTAAAATCTACTCTAAAATCATGATACAGTGTCCTATGCAGAAACAGAACTACTGCTTCCTACAGAATTATGTTCATGTTCCCAATCCCATGTTTTCCTACATATGTCCTGCAGTATTTCTTACTGGGCCAGAACGAATTATGCGTGACAAAACTGGACTGACCTGTGAGTGAGAGTGCACTAATTGACTGGTTGATTGCTGCCAGCATGAATACCTAAGGCACATTTTGCCTGTCTTTCAGTGTAAGTACTTATTAAGGTCTCTCTCCTCTATCTAGCTACCTACTTTCATGAAAGTCACAGAAAGTAATTGATACTGCTCTTCCTCTTCCAAATTTGGTTTAAATTATTTGAAATTAGATTGTCAGAGAATGGCAGGCAGATGGATGGGAAACACAATAAAGTACAATTGCTTTCCTTAAGTATCAGATTACACAATCGACAAGCAAAACCCAGCTAGTACGTTTTACATTATTTGTAATTTGAAAGTGGAAATAAGGAATGTGAGATCATGACCTTATTATTAAGAAGCAAAACATATTTTAAAAATATTTACTACTTAATTTCAGGAGAAACACTTCTATTGCACATGGCAGTTGAATTAATCTCAAAGGAACTATTTATCTTCATACACCACATATCTGTTAAGTACCCCAATAGGAAATAGGATTGGAACTATAGCATTTGTTCACTATCACCATGAAGATCATAATGTGACATGCAATAAGAAGCTTAGCTTTCTCATGAATGAAAACTCTCCCTGAAAACATGTTTTAAAAAAAATAAAATAATAAGAACCCAGAAGAAGAAGAACAACAAAACACCATCACAACTCACACAACAAAAACAAAGAGAGGCTTAGTTGTTTGCCAGCAGTCAATTACATTCACTCTGGATAACTATTGAGGACAGAAGTCAGGTTTGGTTCTACAAGAGGATGATTTTCATGAAAGAGCAGGATGATAGCACACTCAGAAAATGCCCTATTTTAGTGGCTGCGTGTGTAAATGGAGAATCAGAACATATAATGAAAGCACGTGCAGACAACCAGCGATCATCACAGTGTATAAAAGCTGTGTGAGAAGATAAATGGAAGAACAGAACACATGTGATCTCTGAAAGAGGCTTCCAAATGTAACACAATTGGAAGATGTACTCACTGGGAAAGATGAAGTAAATTCCATTTTTAACCCAAATGTGAACAATGCCTGCAGAGTACTTTGACATATTTAGTATTTTTGTTTTACTTGACTATGAAATGTGTAAGGTCAGATAAATTAAAAAGATTTAAGATCAAATAATGCAACACACTGTAATTCATCAGTGACTTGTCCTTTTTGAGAATACAGTTCCTTGCTCTTCTATATGACATGGATTACACTGTATGTAGTCAAGACAGCTAACTGATGCTGGAAAAAAGCTTCTTGATACCAATTACTTTCTTTTTCATTTTGTATGTCTGTATCAATGTTTTAGTAATACAATTTTAATATTAAAGAAAAGTTTGGTACAGCTTTTGCATTCACAGAGTACGTGTATTTACTTTTAGCCTTTGGAGACGGAGGAACTTCTGGGGACAAAATGCAAGACTGACGTTCCGCGCATTCCAGTGGGTGTTCCTCTGAAATACTTGCATTTCCTGTTTCCATATATTCTGCAATTTAAAGATACACATACGCTTAAGTGATTGGATTAAGGGGGTTTATTTCAATCAAAAGATATTTGCTATTTCATTTTTCATAAAGCCTTTACAATTTTTCATATTACAACCTTGTAATTATTCATAAACACTGCTGCAAGGCAATCATTTGCTCAAAGTATTGCAAAACACTAGAACGGGCAGTTCTCTAATTTGCTGAAACTGTTACAGAAATCTCATGGTAAGAGTAATGAATTGAGACTATCCCTGTGTTTTTCCTGTCTCATTGAAATATCAATTGTTCCTTAATATTATTACCATTGAAAGAGGCTTTTATTCTAAACTTGTGCAGAGTTTTTAGCCAAGATAGTCAGGATGCTCACAATAAGTACAAACACTGATACTATTAAAAACCCAAATATTCTGCTTGCAGCACAGAGAGAACACATGATGGGAAAAAAAAGAACACAAACTCAAAAATGTAGTTAAAACTCACAGGCCAAAAAGCACTGTGCTAAAGTTTCCATATTTTTCCCCCTTAAAACTTCCCTTGCACCATGTTCACAACAATGTTTATACAAACTGAAAAACATGAAAAGATGAACTTCAATTTTATTCCTGTTCTTTTCATAAAAATATCTACAATATTTTCATGTGTTTTTGTACACAGGCTACCTCAATGGAAGACCAAGACCTACTGGAAACCCAGGACCTAATAATTAGAAATTAATTTATGCAATAGTGGCACCTTTTTCCAGCACAGTGACTGAGTCTCAGTTCTGGCAGTTATTCTGCATCTGCATTTTTTGGGGTTTCTGAAGCTTCTTAAACAGTTTCTTTCTGATACTAATAGTAACCACAATAGAACATGTTGCAACACACACAAAACCAAACTACAGCAACTGTTTTCATCAATATCACTCTGAAGGACTAACTAAGGAGTTTCTGGGAACTGAAATCTCCCTGATTTAATTTCTACAGTCTACAATCCACTTGTTTAACTCGCTGTTACTCATGATTAAATAACAAATCCCAAAACCCAAATACAATCTGTGATAAAATAGACATCCAAGAAACTGAAATTGGAAATGGCATAGAACAGCACACAGTTTCAGAATGCTTTGCAGATTGTTGGTAGGGTTTTTTTTTAAATGTATGATTTGAAAGTGCCATATATTAAGTTTGATGGTTGGCAATGATCCCCTGGATAATGTCATACATTTCTTCATATGAAAATTTCATACTTCGATTTTTTTTGTGTGGTGCTGAAAGCAAAGAAGCAAAGATGAGCTGTAAGAGACCACGAGAAAACTAGCAGCATGAAAAAATGCTCTGGAATGTTTTCCAGCTCTGTCAGCTATAGTATTTGTTAAGTTAATGTGCAAGATGGAGAAGAAATAAAAAGAAAGCCAGACCCGAAGAAAACAAAAAGAAAAAAGGAAATCAATTTGTGCCTGAAAATATTTGCTTGGTAATTATGTAACTGTCCAAAAGCAAATCTAAAATGAACTTCTATCAGGTGTGAGTGTTACAATTATTAGATCAATACAGCTATTACTAGGAGGGGGAATGAAGGGGAGATTGTGAAGGACTTTAACCTTGCTGTCATCATACAAGACAGTGGGTTTAAAATAATTCTCTATTTTTATTCTTTGTCAGGCCCCACTTCCAGACCAATGAACTTACCTGCTGGAGGCTAGTTCTGAGGAGGAAATCCTAAGTTCAACATAAGTCTCAAATACTTACTTTTAAAAATGCAGAGTTCTTTCCAGAAAACCTCTACAAATGTCTCACACAAGCTATGGTGTACAAGGTTTACAACAGGCCAGCAGCATGTTATCTTTGTAAGGGTGCAACCCTTAAAAATTCGGACTCCTGTAGGACTTCTACTCCTAACTTGGTTGGATGCTACTGAAAATTCTACCAGAGATGTACAAGACAAAGACAGCGACTCAGTTGCAACAGGCTTTTAGCCTAGGCAAATGTACACTTACCCACAATACTGGCAGAGAAACTAACACAAAACAGCTGATCCATATGAAGAGCCAAAGAGCACACATAAGCACTGAATGCTTTCACCAGCAGCTGACTTCTATTCACCTGCAGATAACTAGGAATTCATCTTCAAAGCCTGCCCAAACTTATCGAAAAAAGGTGATTCTGTTGCCATCGTTTACTCTGGCTGCTGTGTGCTTGAGAGACTGCTCAGGTTGGATCACTTTTCCCAAAGAAAGACAATTCAGAACAAAGCCAAGCTTAGTGAATTGTAACACTTCATGACCAGAACAGTTTCCCCAGCTGTGCTCTCACAGAGTTTAAAGAAAAACCTCTCATTCCTACAATATAGGAGAGTAAAGGCTGTTTGGGACACAGCCTCTCATATTCATAATGGGAAGAATGGACTATTTTACTTCTGTTTACCCAAACAGCAGATTACAGTTCAGTGAGGATTAATACTAAGAATTCCAAAAACTTTGCCTGCTTAGCAGAATTCTTTTCTATCAGATGTTGACACAGCCCCACTCAACCTAATTAGGGTCATGTGCACAAAAAAGTAATAGCATAAAAGTAGCCTTACAGCAGTGGAAATAAGAACAGTGGGGAACATAACCAAAGAAGATAACAAGCTCTGGAAAGTTGAAACAGTTGGAACTCCAGCTTTCTCAGTTTCTGTAACACTGATTAGGCCAAAAGCCAAGCAGAAGGGAAAAAATAAACATGTAAGCAGAGAAACACAGATACCTCTCCACCATGAAGAGAGCACAGCCCAGCTCAGCTAGAGCTGCTTCTGAACTTCCAGAGACAGTAAAAGTACAGCTTGCTTTAACTTCAGCACCTCTTAGATCCTAAGCTCTCTAGTAAGGTAAGACTTCTGTTTAAATTACAAACCTCGGCTTTTAGACTAATGGTTACATTCACCTCAGAGAACTTTTTACTTTTAATGGGAAAAAACCCAATCAAATTTTTTTTTTTTATTTTGGCTTAAATGAAGCATGAGCTCCTTTCTCTTTTGTTTTCAGACCCTATGTCAGCTATGCCATGGGTGGATCCACACAGAGTTCCTTCTAGAGCAATCTTCTCTAAAGAGACCAAAAGGTTTTTTAAAACTCTAAAAAAAAAAAAAACCCAAAAATGGCCAAATTTTATTAGAATAGAAATCTGAACACTCACCTTTTCAAACAGAAGACTCTTCAAAGTAACTAGATCAGAGAAATAAAACTTGTTTAGAAACCACTCCCCTCCACAGCCGATAGCCCTGCAGGGGCATGCTTACTCCTCCATCACTCCACATCTTCGTGAAGAGGAGCAACCTTCAGAAAAACCTCTGCCCTTCCCCAGGCTCTTCCAGAACCTGGCTGAGGATCCTGCAGCTCTACTGAGTACTGTCCCAGCCTGGGAGCTGTTAAAAAGCTCTTCCCAGAACAGCTCACTTGGTCCCCTGGGAAGGAGCCCACCCGAGGCTTGATGACCCAATTTCCCTCCTCTTTACAGCAGCTGCAGTAGCAGAAAACTGACTGGTAACTATTGTCAGGTGTGCTAAGGTGACAGACTTGAGCTGAGATGGAAGCTGGTTGACTTCAACCTCCTAAATTTCAGAAGACAATTCTGAATGACTCAAGTTTAGTTTAATCCCAGAGAAACCTTAAATCAGTAGATGGATTTTGTGCACGTGTTCAGGGAAGTCAAACAGAAACAAGCACTGAAGCACCACTATGATTCTGAGATAGTATGGTTCTAAGTGCAGCTAAACTTTCAGTTACCAGAACATCAGCAGTTAAATTAATTCATAAGCATAGTTAATACTCTACAGCTGTCACGCAACAGCCTATAAAGGAGATGAGAAGACCCCTGGGGAAAAAAAAAAAAAAAAAAAACAAAAAACCACAAACACCAAACCAAACCCACAAGTAAAACAAACAAACAAAAAGAAAACAAAACCACAAAAAAAAACCACCAATAAAACAATGAAGGGGGACTGAGTTCTCAATTATTTTCATCCCACACAGCTGTAATCCTTCCAGTGAGGCTGGCCTCCTGCAGCCTCAGGAAGATCTACATGACCAAAGAACGGGAGAGAGAGTAAGAATACAAAAAAGAAAGACAGTGCTAATGACACCAAAGCTATTTAAGCAGAGAGGAGAAGAAAGAAGTCCTGTTCTGCAGCTGCTTATACATTTTCTGTTTATGAATAATTGGGTAACAGGTACAAACAATGTTAGGTTTCTAAGCAGCTTCAGCAGAAGAGAGGAAACAGCTTTCCATTGCATCTCCCTCCATACTGTCTATGCAGCAGCGCTTACTGTGCCTTCCTGGGGCTCATGACATTTTTCATCTGTTTATCTACTATCTCCTTTTTTTTTTCCATAAAAACAAGAATTCTGCTTCCAGAAATAGTAAAAGAGCAAGATTCTAATAGAGAGCATAGTGGGCTGTGGAGAAAGAGCTGAAAGACAGTATAGCATGCACCTGCGTCACGTTCACATGTGCTAAAACTAAAACACAGCTGGTTGGTTTAATTTTAGGCCTACTAGCCTTGGCAACATCCCTTTTATCTTCAATGCCTAATTATAAAGTCCTAAGTGCCAATACTGTTAACTGCTTCAGCACTGAATGCTGTTGTTTCACTGCACCCATGAAATGCATTCAATAGCCCGGCCTTACTTTGGGACAGTATCCTAATTCTCTGCTCTTTGAGTACACAGTGCCTATACAGCTATTTCTTCCTAATCAAATTAAAAATCTAAACTCTAATAAGTATTTTTCAGTGAGTTCAATGCAACTCAGACCTGAGAAAGACACTGAACATGAAGTGACATGTATGAAAGACATGTTTAGAATTAAAACTTGAACTGTCATTTCTATTAATTCCATCTATAATTAAAAGGCAGTAAAAAAACCATTCACGTGGCATATAGCTTATTCAGCCTTTTTCATGTTGCTCTTTAATGTGATTTCTTAATTTATTTTCCCTCTATCAGATAATATGCCAACATCTCAAAAAATGGCAGACTTTGCAAACACAAATATAATATTTTTGCAGAAACTTCCATTGCTATTTTCTCAGGTTAGTAAGAAAAGATGTAAAGTAAAGATCACAAAAACCTAGGATCACTTCTAAAAACTCACCGGCCAAAGTTTTTGGTTTTTTTAAAACCATAACCTGTAAAAAGTAGTTTTCTAAATATTCTTTTAAAAAGGGAGAACAATTTATATCCACAATTCTTAAATTCTGTGAGGGCATTCACTCACAGCTGGCTACCAGCCCTGAAAGTTTTAGGATCAGCTCAATGGATTTTGCATTTCTGCCTCCATGAACTGCTTCTAAACAAGGAAATTATTTTCTTCAAAGAACGTTCTCATAAATATCCTCAAAACCATTTTCTTTCTAAACTTTCCTTATAACTCTGTTATCCCCCTGCATATAGGGGTGAAGAACCATCAGGCCCACTGACAATACACATGATTTCCTTGGTCATTTCTGCCAGCCTATTCATATGCATCTTTCAGCCTATGTGGAAAGCTAATGTTTTGTGGCAGGGACAAACATTATGTTGTTAATGCTATAAAATGTGCAGTAACACTCGTAACAGTGCAAGGGGAAAACAGTAAAAATTAATGAGAATGCTAGGTGATAAAATCTTGCTCTATCCTGGCAACAAGGTGAAAGAATAAATTCAATGACATTATGTCTGCATAAAGAACAAAATTAGCAAGAAACATACAAAATCTGACCAGTAATTGTCTGACACCATTAATTTAATTTCTTTTTCATATAAGTCTACATGAAGGAGACACATAAGCTTCTCTAGACAATCATCTAAGGACAGCAGCTTTCATGGGAATGTATTTGGAAGCCACTGAATCTCTCCGAGTAATTGACCTTTTTTTTGCATGGAATTCATTACCCATCATCGAGCTCAATTACAGTACATTCAGGATTCCCAAAATCTCAGTGCTTCACTGACTTTTCAGCTACAATAGGATAAATACCCACACTTTAGTGAAGAGTATACTCAACGGGCTTTTTAGAGGAGAGCAGGTCAACTGTATCATCAGTAGTGCTAGTACTGAATACTACCACTCCTGATTTTATTTTTCAACTTCAGCTCACCATTCAAACTTTATCTTTGATGGATAAAGCTTCAGTGAACATTTTGCTGATGAAAAAGAATCTAAGTGGGTTCTAAGGGAGTTCTGAAGGGGGTCCTCAGGTTGTCTTAAGAGTCAGAATGACATCTTTGTAACATTTTTCATCCTTGTGCCTCGCTTCTGACTATAAGGCAGACAGAGCAAAAATAAACAGCTGCTCATTACAAGCACAGTTTCATCACACTAATATGAGTTGAAAGTACTAGGCAGTCATCTTAATACTTTCAAGGCACGCATTTGAAAAAGATTCTATGTCAATGCATCAAAAAGCCTTGAAATCAATACATTTCCTTTATGTGTGTGTGTGGCAAAAACTGAGGGCAGGTACTGATCCATCAACATAAGAAACCCCTGAGAGGTTTTTGGGTGCTTTCTTATTCACAGAGCAAGGGTACTTTGAAGAAACTGTTCATCAGTGGGATTGACACTGCAAGGTTATCATGCTAAGGAGAAAATGGAACAATAAAGAGACGCTAAAACGAAAATTAGTTTAGTTGGTGATGGAAATTCATGATAAAACCTAGATTACTATCTGAAGGATGATTGATTTGGATGTCTAAGAAAGTGGAAGCTCTGACTGACCCTTTTCCTGCCACTGAAGAAGTTTCAGTATAACATTAACTCTCTTTTCCTCTAGATAGTGGTATGTTCATGCTTGCAGCTGAGTGAGGACATAAAGGTTGAAGCTTGAGTCTGAGTCTGAGTGAAATTAGGAACTCCCTTCTGCTGACAGGGGGAAGCCCTATGTCCCTCATCCATATCCCCCTCCCCATTTTTTGATTCTGCCAGATACCCGGGACAGAGCTAACTCTAGGACCTGAATCACATAGAAGGCAGGTTCATTAATACAACTAAGAAAGACCCAGTGTGGCCACATGACCTCATTTTCTCTAGGAAATGCTCTTATAAAATATAGTTATGGAGGAGACTGAAGCATGAGCTAGTTCATATGTAGAACCACCACTGAACTGATTAAAATGGCTTTTTTAAAGGTGAGATAATCAATAGAGATGGAAATGCAGCAATGATACCTACAGGGAACTCCTCTGTCAAACACAGTTAATGAAAGACTAATCTGAAGATGAGGGAAAAAAATTTCACAGAGGAGAATAAATTATGTTTAACACTGAGTTATGTTCTAATTCATGTTTCATCACTTTACTGCCATCTTCTAGAGTAAAAACCTGAAGTAAACAATGGACTTCCAACAGTCTCACACCATGAAAGAAAGATGAGGAATAAGAACAAAGGTATGTACAAAAAAAAAAAAAAAAGGTATTATTTCTGCTATAATAACAAGCGATACTGCCTGCTTTTTGTTGGGTTTTTTTGTTTGTTTGTTTGCTTTCAATTTAAGGAAAATGAGAAAAATATAATGAAATGTTTTGGGAAAATATCTTTCAGTCATATAGTTGTCATTTATGAATGAATTGAGCATTTCAATTGTAGGTTATCATTACAATCTAAAAACAATGAAGTGAAACATTACAGTATGTCACTGTGTAATGAAGAGTAACTAAAAGTGACACACCATGCTAATTTCTATGGTCCATAAAAAAGAACGGGTTGACTCTGAATTTCAGATACTGAACCATTTATTTTTGTTCAACTAGTAAACAAGAATTTTGTATTTTTAATTAAAAAGACTGTTCTTTTCTATAACAAAGTATTTAAAGACTAGAAATTACTATATACCTTAATATTTCTCCATGCTATTCTGATTTGTCTCTAACAAATGTATAACTGAATATCACTTACCTTGAAGTAGAGCTGCAATTTGAAGTGACTGCTGAGATGGATGTTCTTTAAGTATATCCAAAACCGTTCTACCCAAACTGTCCTTTATGTTGGTATCTATTCCTGAAAAAGAAAATGATCTGTGGTAGAATTTTTAACTCCAAGTGCTTTAGATTAGAAATGCAGTGTATCAGATTCAACTATCTGGTATATTGAAAGCAAGTGGTTTTACAACTGTAGCAGATTAACAGCTGCATTACAGCTGAAGTACAGCAGACTCTTTAAAGCTTGAGTAGCCTAAATTCACATGCTGACATGGATGGTTTTTATGTTTCTGTAATTCATGGGGATATGAAATAAGCTTCTTAAACCACATTTGGGATTATTTTAACAAGCATCCTGAAAAGAATATTTTATGCAACCAAGAAATTCTCTGAATGTTTTTCCTATGTTCCTCTCCAAATTGCTTTAATTCACTGGGGACTTTCTAGTTGGTAGTACCAGTATATGTTTTGGGAGCAATACTGTAAGGTACTAGATAAGGCTACACAAAAGGAGAAAAAAACCTCCTGCTGGTTTCCTGGAAGACCCCAGCTCCTGGGGAGACATTCCCAGAAACTAGTAAGTGGACTAAACTGAAGAGAGGAGTGATATGAAGATAACATGTCCTTTTATTCTGCAAACCAGATGGGAACACAGAAAACTGCCCCTTGGGCCTATGTCATTTGTCTATCATCCCAAAATTAGCTTATTGACTATAGCCACTCAAACTGCCTAAGAAAAAAGGTATAGAAAGAGATTGGACATAAGCAAAAACAGGGGAGAAGTTCCATCAACACTGCAAAAGATGGCTGACAAGCTGGTCCTTCTCTCTCCACTTCTGCGGATGCCTGGAAGGTGAGACGTATTTTATCCATGCTAATTACTTGCCTGTAAATAACGAGAGTTTACTTTTGCTTCACAGTATTCTTAGTAAATTGCTTTGCTTTAAAGTTTTTGCTTATGTTTTCCTTTATTATTATTACTACATGGTTTAAATGTGTTTTTGCACTTAGACCCTATTCCAGATGAAATGAGCCCTATAAATTGTCACAAATTTGTATTACTAAATGTGGTATTTTGTGAACTGTTAGAGTGAGTCTGTTTCTAGGTGCTGACAGTTTTATCAACAGCGAAATAACTCATAGGAGAAACTTGCTGAGGGGTTTCCCTATCACTATTAAGCGTAGTCTCTCTAAAAAACAGTATCAAATGTCCTGTCTGTCTCGGCAAACCTGTTAAGCAAAGTGTCTCACCTGATGAGACACTAACAGACTGTTTTGGACATTAAAAGGCTTTGATCTCCTGGGGGAACACTGATAGACACAAATAAATTAATACAGGTTGGACAGAAAATTCCTCTTTTCTGCCCCTTTTTAGTGTGACAAATATGAAAAAGTTTCTAACTTTATCTTAATAAAGTTGTACTTCATGGCAACATTTTTGAAATTCATGCTCTGAATGGACTGAAATAACCATGTATAGTATGCAGGCATTGAGAACAGCTACAACATTTCCTCACGGACTGTTCAGACTGCTGACAAAGTAATTCGCTCAAACTGTGAATGTAAGTTTAAGGCTTGCCCTGAATCAGAACCTGTTGTATGTGTAAGTGCATGACTCTCTACCTTTGTCTTGTAGGGTTACCTCAGAAATGTTTGCCTTGTGGTAGAAGACTCAAGTTGTTTTTTAGTTTGGATGTACTTTCATAAAAAGTAAAGGCATGAAAAGTCCTAACAAAGTGAAATTCTTCTCAGGACACTGAACAGCAAAGATCAGAGGAAGCAGGATTTATAAGCACATTCTGAAAGCATTCACCAGAAAAGGCTGTAGTTCTAGTAATTTCCTAATCCAATGGGTAGTCTCCTAGTTTGTTTTGTAAGAAAGGGATTTTTTTTTTTCCTCACTGAAAATAAAGCCAAAATATTGCTGGGCTATTTAGCAGTGGCAGCTGACTTTCAGAGGCCAGACACACCAACTTACACCTTTCCTTTGCAGTAGCTACTTATAACATCATCTGAGTCTTTCTGAAGCAGAACTAGAGAAAAGGGCATTGTTAGGTAAAAAAGGAAGAAGGTGGGAAGTGTTGCAGAAGTGCAGAGCATTTGGGGTTAAAGGAGTTCACCATGAAGATTCCACTATCCTGTCTTGTATAATTACATGCTGGTAAAGGCTGTAACATGTATTAATATATAAGAGGTGTCCTTTTTCTGTAGTCTGAAGGGCTTTCTATGTTTCTGTGATGGTCTCCAGTCCTTCCTTTTTTAGGAAATAAAAACGTGAAGATCCCTTTCAGCCTCCTTCTTATTCATCCAAACAGAAAAGCAACTTGGAAGGACTTTTTTTCCTGAAAACAGTTCTCAGATCAGATTGAGATTCAGATGAGGAGCTGTCATTAAGACATACCTTCTTCTGCAATATATAATTAACTCCACAAGCACTGATAATAAAGACCAACAAGATCCCTCAGCATAACAAAAGCTCATGTATCAGCGAGAAGGTATTTCTAAATATTTTTATTTTTGTTGATCTCATTTGTCTAAGATGGTTGTCCAGATGAGAGATCTACCTGCAAAAAAAAATCTGAAACTCTTATTATGTAGTAGATGAGTTTGTTTGGACTTTATATCCCTGTTCTTCTGTCCTTATAGGACAAATGCAATTCTCAGAGACACAGTGCCTCCCCCTTTCTTCACAGGGACTCAAAGTTTATCTAGGAAATGAAGGAGCAAGCAAGATGGTGTGTTTGTTAGGAATAGCTAACAGACGGAAATAAATGTGAACATGAGTATTCTGGTCTCTACATCAAAGAATATTCTTGGCTGCCTTTCAGAGTGAATAACAAAATTTTATGGAGCCATTTTGTTCTCAGAATACATTTATTCTCAGAATACAGTGGCATACACTGAGTCATATACGGAATTTATGAGTCTTAGTGCAATCCCCTTTGTTCTCTGCAAAGGCTGATAAAGATAAAAGTAATTTGAATAACCAAAAGCAGAGGAGGCACACAGAGATTAGGAAAATTAAGAGTATTTTTTCAGTATTTCCTGTAAATCAAATTTACCTGTTTCAAGCAAAATGCGTACTACCTCCACCTTTCCAAATAGGGCTGCTTCATGTAGTGCACTCCCTTTTTCTGTCTAGAAAAAGAAATATTGTGACATTTAAAATGCAAATTAAAATACCAATGAATCTTTTTGTAAAGAATACATTATGAAAAGAAGTATTTCATTATTTTTCCTCTCTATTTTACTTACACATAGAAAACACTGAATGGGCAAGAACAATTATTACCATTTTTTATTTTTATTCAAGATAACAACATAAATGTTGTCAGTTCGACTATAAAATTAATAACTATGTCAGAAAATATAGTAGGAATGCAATACAATTCCTATAACAGGCAGTGAAAATCTAGTCAATACCATCAGTATCATCAATGTATCAGCTGCTCAGCAAAGTCAGACAGTTTACATGTGGATATCTACAATTAGATACTTCAATGTGAAACTGAATCACACCCTAGAAGGTCAATTTAGTTGCATGGTGAGAGATGCCCCAGGATATCCCACCTGGGCGACAGCTGATGATCCAGTTGATGCTCACATTTGATCTGCCTCACATCTGCCTCATACAGATGTTCGGCATACCCTAAGGCACCTCCAGCAGCATTAGATGACTATGTTTGTAACATTTAAATTCTACCTTAGATGTCTGTGAACTTAATTTTGCAGATTTCTTTGACCCAAAAAAGAGCAGACTTTTGCTCAAATAAAATTTACAGTATTGAAAAACAAGCTGCCTCTCTTAACAAGCTACTTTATCCTGCTGACTGTAACTGAAAACTCTGAACAGCACACCTTTCCATACAAGAGCATTAGCACTAGCTAAAGCACTACTAAATCTCACTAAATATCTGGCTTATCTCCTTTTTTGATCATAAATTAGATTTTGAGATTTATTTACGGGCAAATGTTAAAGGTTTTACTCCTTGAATTTGGTTTTTCTATATTTTATCCAAATGCACCCTTGTAATACTTGCTATGGTGGAAAGACTTTAAAGGCACACACACACATACACACAAAAAACCCCAACTCTGAAAGAATACAGTGATTCATTATTAATTACTTGTGTCAGAATGCATCTGAATTACAGCAGTGACAGGATAAAATGAAGTAATCAGAGATCCTGAGATAAGGTGTGAGCACACTGTAAGTGTATAAATGCCCTACCAATTGAGCCCAAAAAGTCTTTCAATGTCCATAATAGGAACTTTCACTTTTTATCTTTCTTCATACTTAGTACATGGACATATAAAGTAGAGGATGTCCAGTGATATCTACATCCCGTGCATCAGGTTTACTGACAGTATAACACAGGAGAAGGAAGTCAGTGGAGAATGAACATATGAAACACATCTCTCAAAACAATTTCTAATCTTTCCGTTTTCAGAAGCAGTCCAGATGAACATTTACAGGCTTATTCTGAACAAGAAGACTAAATATTCAGATATACTGAGGATAAAGGATTTTGAGGTACCCTTTTACAAAAGTATCCTTTACAACAGTATCCTTTACTGAGGTAAAGGATTTTGAAACTGTCTCTAAATATTCAGTATATCTGAATATTTAGAGACAGTTTCAAAATCCTTTTCTCAAACAATATCTACAGGATATTTCCATTACTGCAATTGACCTCAACATAGGCTAACTGCAAAGACAGTGCAATCACAAAGGTACAGAGACTTCAGTGTAGCTCAGAGATTTCTGAGAATAATAATTCTCAGAAAAGTCACTGAACTAAATAGTTCCAATTACAGAGAGAGGCTTGACATCAGCAATCTTGAAAAAGACTTTGACACAGCCTATTATTCTCTATGTGTCATACAGCATTTCCTATGGATCAGTCACTTGAATAAACATGAATCAGTCACATGAATAAACCTCAAGACTATTGGCTGGACCTGGTACTATTTACAGAGTTCCCTGTCATCAAGGAGCAGTGTTGACAACAGGTCAAGAGAGGAGACCTTCCCTCCTGTTCAGCACTGGTGAGTCCACATCTGAAATACTCTGTCCAGTTCCAGGCACGCCAGTACCAGATGGATATGAAGCTACTAGAGGCAGTCACTAAAATGATTTAGAGATCGGAACATCTCTTCTAGGAGGAACTGGGACTGTTTAGCCTAGTCAAACAAAGGCTTATGGAGGACCTTGTCAATGTGTACAAATATCTGCAGGGAGGGAGCCAGGCTTGGGAATGTCCAGTGACAGAAGAGATAATGTGGAAAAACTGACACACAGTAGGTTCTGTTTGAACACAAGGAAATATGTTTTTGCTGTGCAGGTGACTGAATGCTGGTACAGGTTGTCCAGGAAGGCTGTAGAGTTTCAGTCCTTGGAGATACTCAAAAGTTGCTTGGACGTGGTCCTGGGCAACTTATTCCATGGGATTCTGCTTGAACAGGGTGGGTTGGACCAGAAGGCTTCCAGAGTTCCCTTCCAACCTCAAACATCATGTGATTCTGCCAGAGATAATGTATACACCAACAATGAAATCCACAGAGGTTCAACTGTTACGGGAGGCCTAAGCATTAAATTTTAGTTCTGTGAGAATGAACTGCAGAGATGGAAACCAGCCACACCTTGACTAAAATCGCAGAGGTCATTCTGTACTAATAAGGAATGTTTTCAATGGAAAAAGTGGGCATGCTTTAGTAACAACAGCTATCTAGAATCCATTGCTGTAGCATGGTCTGAGACTGAGAAAGATCAATGTTCTGGCATACTAAATTACCAGCTTTGAGGATGACGAAGAGGATCTATACTTAGACTACTCAGTTAAAGGGTGGAAAAGATCCTGATATGATAATTGTTACTGGCAGCAGTCCTTTCTAAATCAAAATTCCCCACTGGAGGAAAGGTAAGCAATATTTTCCTTAATGAAAGCATACATCTCATAAGAAATGGAATGAAAACAAACATGAGAAGAGGAAACTTCCTGTAGATGTCTAAGGCAAACAAATCTAAATTGAAGGCCAAAAGACAGCTCTGTAACAGTGAACCGAAAGCTCTGCTGTGCACAAAGGAGTACCAAACCTTAAGCCACCTCTACATATGTAATTCATAGTGTTGGGAGAGGAATTCAAAGCCAAGTGCCAGTTTTTTTCCTTATATACTTTCTTGCTTCTTGGTCTATTCTACCGTGATATTTCCTGTCATATCTGAACACGACCCTGAAATGCTTTACAGGCATTCTGCATTGCTCTGCATTCTGGAGCAGCCTATGCCTCACAATTCTGAGCTTTCAGACAAGGCTAATGAATGTCATATCCCAGAAATGAGATACATATTACAGTCTACTCAAAAGAGGAATTTAAAAGGCACACCATATAAGTAGTGCAATGATCTGTATGCTTTAAAGGTGATTCTCTAAACAAGAGGGGAAATATTACTGTGAAACTGAACTAAAATCAGTCTGAGAATATGGAGTTTGAAAATACACTTGTAAGATGCAGATGTGTAATCCTGCATAAGATGTCACAAAGATGAATGTTGACATAAATCTCTAAAGCCCTAGGCAGGATTTCACGGTAATAGTGAATAAGTAACAAGTGAATCAGATCCCTCGACCCAAAAACTATCCAGAAGGTAGAAATGTCCTTGTTACCAGAGAGTTCAGTTACCAAACTCTGTTTTAACATAGAGAAAATGCTGAGCCTCAGGATGAACAGGGCCAAGAGAAATTCTGAGGACTGGCTGAGTAGATACACCTCTCTTTGTAAATGTACACGTGGCTTACTACTTGGAGGTAGAAGTAAGTTCTAGAGGAGTGTTCTCTTCTTGTGCAACAGAGCATGTTACACAAACCACAAGAATTAAAAGATATAGTTGCAAATAACTTCTACATATTATTTAAGATGTGATAGAACTTTTAAGTATATCTTTTTCGCTTACAATGGCATTCTAGTGCACTAATACACTCCTCTTGTCTACACTACAGCAAACGAGCTTAAGATTTATGGACAATATTCACTGCTTTACTTCCTGAAGCTTTCATTGGCTTGGATCTTATGTTTCTGGCAAAGTGAACACTACTATTATATTTGTAAATTCTTTCCCATTGATACTTAATACAAAAAATGCTGGCATTTTTCCATGAATACAGTGAGCTAAAGTCTGCTTGAGTTTGCATGAATGGCTTACATATTGATTCCCTGCCATAAATTTTCTGTATATGAAATACAGAGAACTAGAGCACAAAGTGTGCTAAGCATATAACAAAACAGTACCTGCCCCAAATAGCTTACAGCCAAATACAGATGCAATGTCACAGCTGGACAAACAAAGCAAGCAAGGATAGAAGGACACTGTCAGTAGAAACACCAGGATACACAAATCAATGCAGTTTGCAGGCTCACACAGAAGCATCAAGGGTTTTAATAACAGGTCAATTATTTTTTTTAAATCATGCAAATATGCAAGAGCTTTTAATTAAGCCACTTGTTTCATTCTTATTTATAGGCAGTTTACTATAGTTTTTATATTGATTTCAGGCAGAACCTGAAAGACAGAATGGTGGCTTTGCAAACTGATTCACAGAATATCCTCCGTACGCAGTGACATCAGAAAGGAAGGGGCACAGCTTTTTGCAGGAGAACTACAGTGATAAACAGTGGAAATTACCATCCTTATTGTAACAGACAGGGAATGCAAAAAGGGATAGATGAAAGTTGGATAAGCAGAAGGGGCCAAGTTTTTAAGGTATTTACAATTATTAAACTACTGTTTGCATGAAACAGACTGAAACTGTGCAGTATCTTATTTTATTGAGGGCCCAAAATCTATCACTCACCCAAAACCTGTGTATTTTTCATATGTTTCAATTTAAATGAAAACTTCAAAACATGAAGAAATGAAAGAGATTTGCCCAATTCTAAAAAATTTCTGAATGAAGGATATTGGATAGACCTGGGAAGTGAATGTGTGATTAATTAATTCAAAAATTAAATGCTGCCTTTTATTAGCCCAAGTATTTGTTAATATTAAAAGTGCTCAGAGAGTACAGAAGAGAAAGATAAGATGGCTACAGTAAACTTTCCATTTAAACAGATGTATCTACAATTACAGAATGACAGGAGACAGGCTACTTCTATAATCATCTCTCAACATTATGAGAGCTCTTTAATAAACTGAATTTACTTAACATGTATGAACTGTGTACAGTTTTATTTACCACATAAGATCTTACTTTGTGTATTGTTCTTTCCCAACAAGTGATGCAGATCAATTTAATTAATAAAAACATCGAGTTCAGTTTTAAGTAACAGGTTGACTGCATGTTCTACTCATTTTAATTAGCTGCCAGTAATCATCAACAGAATTTTTCAGAGACTACAGAAGTAATAAGTCAACAATATGTACAGAGCCAAATTGCCAATATACTAAAATGTTGAATGAAAAGGAACATATTGATAGAGAATATGTATACTGGTGAGAAAATAAATAAGTGATATTTCCTTATGGCAAGGAGGACAACACAGAAGAAACAAGACAACCTAGTGCAAAAAATAAAATACAATAAAATAAAATAAAATAACCACCCTGACTCTGAATAACTATAGAAAAAAACCCAAGACTATAAATTACTTAAAAACAATTAGAATGAAAATAGATTAAAAACCAAGTGGAGGTGCCAAACATAATACCATTAGTAAAAGAATCTCTCGTTTCTTAAAAGAAAATTGTAAAAAAATATTGCAGCCACTGTATTTTTTAAAGGCCAGTGAAAAATTTTTGGTATAACTATAGATAAAAATGGCTTAGGAGAATCCACAGTAGTGCTAAAAGTATCTAGATTACATAAGAGGAAGAACACATTTCATAAAAGCATTGTGTAATATTTTGCCCTCATGTAACCATCAGTCTGTAAGTTACCATGACAGAGACTATTTTTCTTCAATTATTCTGTCTTAACTATCAATTCAGGCATCAGTTTCTGACTTTTTCCTCATTCATTTGCTAGAGGTAGAAGAGAATTATACATTCAGAGACATGCATTTGAGAGTTCTGTTATGTGTTGGTGTAGCACTGAACTTTTCTAACTTACTGAAGATGTAGTAAAAGATTAAAAAAAGAGCTGCTTGTATTAACCTTTGCAAGTGTATCTCTTTCTAATAAAGAGAATCAAAATCAAATTAAATTGAAATCATAGTGGTAGGCAAATACTCAAGTAAGTAAATCATAGCAAAGTGTTTCACTTTAAAATAGTTTGAAGCAAGTAAAAATGCTAACTCAAAACATACTAGAGATAATAAAAGTATTAAAACAATTTTACCACATTTTATTCTCAGGGCACTTAAGAATATCCATTTTTAATCTTAAAATATCCTAATATTTTATGTTTTGCTTTGTGCTTTGGGTTTTTTTTATTTTTTTAATCTATTTTTGCTTCCCCAGTTCACATTCTTTTTCTTAAAAGTTGAAAACAGAGCCTTGATGGAAGAATTCAGAAATGAAAATACATGGAATCCAGGTGCAATCTTTCTATATAAAAGGGAATTTTATGTACAAAGGTGTTTGATTAACTGCACATAAAGCCTAAAATGGGTATAAATTTAGTCAAAGTTTAGGCAAAGTTCCCAAGATTTATTAAGTGGTAGAGAATGCCTGGATGTGACTCTAAACTAGATGCATTATGTTTGGTTAGTTGGTTTATCTGAAAACAGATATAAACCTGAAACAACCTTAATTCGAAGTGTATTTTATATATATATATATATATATATATATACACACACAGCAAGAAAGCTACTTTAAATCTGAAGATAAAATACACTTTAAACACAAATATAGTGCCGTCAATTAAATCAAGAGAAATCATGTGATTTAGGCAACGCTTCACAAATAACAGAATCTGGTCCTCTGTTCTTAAAAGGCTTGGACACTTTCCAGTACAAAGAATTGAACATAAAATTTACTGCTGCTGTACCTTGTATCTGTTCCAAACTATTCCTATTTTATTTAAAGTTCCCCTTTTATGTTATTATAAGTTACTGTGCATAGAACTAGATGCACCAAGCATCTAACAGCTTGGAGTCAGTAGCTGAAAGAATAGTAGAATATAGAATTATAGAAATATATAAAATATAGAATTTTCTTTCAGATTTAGACAACAAGTTAGAAATGCAGAAAATAAAAATGGTTATTACCTCATAACTCTGGGTTTAGCATGGAATAACCTTAGGAAAATGAATTATCAGTCAAACACTGTTTCAGATTGCTATGACCACAAAAGGCCATAGCTCTAGCAAATCAGTTTGGTATCATTATAGCCACTATTGTAGAAAATATAGTTAAATACACCTACATGAACAGTTGATATGATTTGTGTATCTACATATCTCAAGACAATATAAAAATATGCACTCAGCTTTGAAGGCATGCATCTTTCTTGAGTTACCCCTTTGAACACACCATTTGCAATGTAAAAAATAAATCTGTGTTATATTTCACCTTGTAGCATTTCTAACGAAGTAAATGCAAGTGTATTTTAAAGAAAAAATTATACAGGAAAGGAAGGAAGGAAGAAGGGAAGAAAGAAATTACACACTAACTTGGCAGCTGACATCCATTCCAGCCTCCAGAAGCACCTGTACGACAGCTTTGTGGCCATTACGTGCAGCAAGATGCAAAGGAGTGTGTTTTCTTGTATTACAGTTCATCAGGTTTGGATATGCTTTAATGATCATTTTTACAACACGCAGACGTCCATAAAGTGCTGCGAGATCCAGAGGTGTTTCCAGTTTGTTGTTCCTTATTGTAGGGTCTGTCAGCTCTTCCAACAGAACAGCAACAACTTCTGAATGACCATACTGAGCTGCACAATGCAGTGCTGTTTCATTTTCATTGTTCTGTTGAAACAAAATAAAAGCTTCAGAAATTCATGTTTAATCACACAACAGAACTGTTCAGCTTCTATAAATTGCCTCCATGAGATCACCACAGAAGCAAGGTTTCTAATATAATGTATGGTAATGTATGTTAAATGCTTCAAAATTACTCCACTAAAATTTTACTAATAATACATTATTACTTCAGCTTTGTGGCTCTCAAGCAGATCCCTACGTGTCCACATTGCTCCCAATCCATTTTTAACAACATGCCACCAAAGACCTTGTAGGCTCATGATATGCTAAAATCTGTAACTCCCCTTGATTCAACTGTTCCTGAAATCATAGTTGAGTCCTTCTCTTCAAAACACTGACACTGAATTCTCTCTTCTCATTTTTGCTGGTTTTGTACCATAGCAGTTTGTTATTGGAGAAGTGAAATTATGGAGAAAAACTGTGCAATGAAGATGTATTGTGCACAAGGTTAGTTTCATGAATCACTATAAAAAGTTACAATCAAGACAACAATTAAAGTTTGGAAGAAGACAAACCAGCAACTGTAGAAAGACTTAACAAATCACTTAAGCAGTTAAGTCTTCTCAAGGCTCCAGGGAGAGATATATGTGTACTTTTTAGGGCATATGAGTATATGTATGCTGTGGACTGAATAGGTTTTTCTTTATAAAGCAATGTCTCCCAAGTCTTTCCCAAAACACTATTCAATAAACTTAATAATAAATATTGAGAATAAGCAATACCTTCTTTATTTGTTTTCTTCCAGTTCTGTCTGTATACTTGCAATCCCAAAGAGATAAATAACTTCAGGCAAAGAGGAAGGAAATAATCTATATAGCTCCCTGGATTCTATATGCCATCTATATTATTAATATATCATACATAATCTCTATAAAGTCTTAAAATAGACTAGACCCTATAAATTTTTGAAGTATGTAAACTGAATGCCTCTTCTAATATATGATTTATAAAATGATATGACAGTTTACAAAATGTGAAAGTATAAAGCCAATAAGGTAATGTGTCATATAAAGAAATAAAAAATTAATGTAAATTCAGAAAAGATACTAAAGAAGGGTAGAAAGGTAATTCTAAAGAAAGGAGAAGTGATAAATCTGAATCTATAGTTCTATTTCTCAAGGAAACAACTGAAGAAAGTTCAGGGGACAGAGAACTGAAAATAGAAGAATAAAAAGTGTCTTTTTGAAAGACAGAAACAGTGAGAGATTCAGAGAAATGAGGCTTTGGACTCTTTGGACTCTTACTCATAAGCTAGTGAGCAAAAGAATATCCATGCTGCACAGTACTAACTAGAAAGATGGAAAGGGGAAAAACTTTTCTTTTTGGTTATGGTGTTTCTAATTCTATAACCAAGAACTTAGTTCTTGAGTTTGGGGTTTTAACAACATTGCTGTCGTTTTCATCTCTTCTTGTAATTTAAAATGAGTCAGATGAACTTGGGAAACAGAAGAGACAGATCAAGACATTCAGGTAAATCAATGTTGCAGTTAAACTCTTCTGGCGTCTGCACCACCACACAAAATCCAAGAGACTGGAATGTGTTTCCTGCTAAACTGCAAGACATAGGCTGGAGAAAAGCCAGGCAAAAAGTGAGAAGCTTCCACTGGCAGACACAGCTTGATGATTACTAAGTATTTGAATCATTGTGCATTATTCAGATCACCATGTGCTCTTTCTTATTACATAGACCATAAATTCAGATTAAATGATACACCATCACAATACTACATGGCTGCAAATGATCTATCAACCACCTGTGGTAAGCTTCTTGTGCTCCAGTGACTTCTAATGTCTCCTTTATACAGGACTGGGTAAAGCAATTTTCTTATGTACAGTGGTATACCCACAATCACAGGCACAGTTTATTGAAATTTATTTTTATATTTTCAATATTTCATGGACAGATAGAGGAATAGGCAATTGCAGCCTAATTTTGTATACAATTAAGTATGAAAAACAGATAATTGCACATAAAATGGCCAATTATGGTAATTTGTGCCTACATTTACTCTATATATCCAATGGAAATAGTAACATAAAGAAATTGGATGTATAACTATATTTACATTCTGGAAGGTGAATAGCAAAATACATGTTTACAATTGTAACTATCTGTCCAATATCTGTTCATGTTTGAATTTTTTTCAAGAATTTATGGATATTACTTAAAGTATTTGGAATCTTATGCCAATGATCTAATGTTGTAGCTTAAAAGTATTCTGATTAAATTTTTAAAGAGATATAAAAATTAAATTTGCTATGACCCTTTTCTCAAAATGTGGTGATAGACAGATATAGACACATAGAGACCAAACAGTCCAAATCATGCTGCTGAACAGCCAACTGAAATTTGCTCCCTCTAAATAAAGACTATCCAGCTGAATTTTCATGCAAGGGCATATTTAAAGAAAAGTATATTTTAAAACAGCATGGTGCATAGCTGTAAAAAATGTTATTATTTTCAAACATGCATTGTTGAACATTTATCTATAGTCTGTATTTGCCAAATTAAACCTACATTTCAGTTAATGACCAACTGGTAAAATTATAAAGAACTAGGTATAAGAGAAATAAAGCAGAAGAATCCAACTTGGGCAAACGTGATAAATTACCTACGTATATGCAGTCAGAACAGGCACTATTGTGTCATCAGAGCTGAGAGGTATTGCCTAATTAGAACTCTAATACAACATCCTTCCCTCTTCAAAATGTAAATTAATCAATTCAGGTATAAAAGACAGAATGATTTTTAACTTTCAAAGAGTAAATTAAAACTTATTTAACTGCCCTCTAAATTTACCTGCTTTGACAATTTAGTACTACTTATATAAAAGAAATCACCTTAGAACCATGAGGTTTTTTGAGGAGGGAGAAGAGAGGTTTTCTGTAGGTTTTGACAGAGTCTGACATCTTCAAATTTAGGAAAGGAGGAAATGCCTATCAGAGAGACACAGTTGGTTCAGCATTCCCAGAGAGACCCCTAAGATAGTTTCTTCCAGTCCAGGAAATAGAGCCTCCACTATCTTCCTCTTCTCACCCCTCATGGAAAGATGGCCATGAATGTCTGTTAGTCTTATGAGTTTCCTCCTTAAGAAATTTGTTTAAAGAAGACATACAGTAAGAATAATAACTGGAAAAAACCTCTAACATGTGAAGATATTTAATAATTGAAATTATGTGATTTCCCTGCTCTCACAAATGCTATTAGTTCTGACAGGTCTTTGGTATGGTCAAAGCTAACTCAGGTGTAACTCTCTTGATCTGTAGTAGTAGTAGTTAGGTAGTTTGTCTTAGTATTTCTAAAGTAACACAATATTTTGAAGCAATATGTGAAAGATGTGAAAAAATATTCTTGAAGAAACTACTAATAATTTAGTACTACTGCCTATATTCTCAGTCCCAAGTGTAAACAATTGTTCCTGGAGTACAGAAAGTTTTTGTGTTAACAGTCATTGCAGTGAGCAGCTAACCTGCTATACAATGTCTAAATGCAAGTTACCATTCTGTAATTAGAGCTTCAAATCTGATATCCAAGGGCTAAATAATACATCTAGTGCTAAAGAAGAAGATTAGAATTCTTGTAGGAATTTCAGATGCTTCATTACATGTTAGAAACTATAAGATAGACCCTACAAATGAGTGATTCTAAAAACAGGAAAGTCAAGAAATCAAAACCAAATGAAGACATACAAAATGTAAGATAAAAAGAGTAGATTACGCAAACACAGTATAAAACAGAAGTCTCTAATATTCATAATTAATAATATTTTAACCAAGCAGTTACTCCTCTGGCCCAATGGACCTCTTTAAGAAATAAGAAAACCATCCTGTGATTCAGCTTTTAATCTTTTTTTAATTTTCCTCTTCATTATTTGTTACATGGCTCTCTTTGTGGGCATGATCTTGACATTTTGTAGCCCTTCTCTGAATCTATTCCCTTCCTCACACAGCCAGAACTCGTGTCTATATGGCTGCAAACTGAATTGTGCCTTCACAGCACTGGATCTCATCAGTATTGCAGGCTGTACTAACATCATTTAGCTACTACGAATGCACGCCACTGCCAAATGTGCAACGTATCTTGAGGTCTATTCATTAGAGGACAGATCAGTAAACACGTTCTAGAGACAGTTATTGTAGCTTGGCAGTCTAATGGTGAAGAAGTACAGGACATATCAAGAGAATGAATGGCTATCATGAATATTATATAGGCCCTTGTGAAGCTTCTATTAAGCCATGAGTAAATTTAGGACTTGTGTTGCATAGTTCTGTAGTCCGGTATTTTTGTCGAGAAAGTTTTAAAGCTCCTAAAGTCCATGCAAGTACTGTACAACCAATAATGACTTATGTGGTGGATTACCAGACCTTTCCAAAGAATGCTCACCTTCTTTATTATCAATGCATTTTGATGATGAACTTGAAAAGGAAGACTTCCTAAATCATGGAGCCATTTCTTTGTCACATAAGCCCAATGGCAAGTAACCAAATGAGACATTTGTTATGAAAATCTTTTCCTATTTTCTCAGTTATGAAACAAGCATTTAAGTTAAAATTAAAGAAGGATAGAACAATGTAAGACTTCAAAAACATCTATCTATACACTCAGTATATAGAAGAATAGTCAACTAAAGATGAAAAAATACAAAAATTAGGCTTTAATGACTAAAAAATTAAGAGAGAAAGAAAAAAAAAAACAGAAACAATATATCCAAGACAGAGAAAGGAATGATGTCAGTATGTTCTTACCATATGTATTAAATCAGGAAGACAGTTTCCTGAGAAGTCCCACCAATAACTTAATAATTCTGAAAAAATAAAGGAAGTTTGCCTGCAAAGTACTCAGTCCGAATCAAAATCACATCTACTGACTTCCCATTGAAATTCACCTTTACTTATGTAAACATTGTAAAAACCAGTAGACTATGACGAAAAAATTTTTCTTCCAATATATGCTGCAATTGGCTCAAATCAAAACGATTGATCCTGCATATTTTTTCTTCAAAATAAAGCAGATAAGAGTTGCAAGGGAAACTGAAATTCATCCACATAGTCTCTAATTTTAGGGGAGGGGGTAAAGTCAAATGCAAAACTTGAAAAATATCGGTTTTGCAGGTTATTTTGGAAATCAATTGTACTCATGGAAGTCCTTGAGGTGTCACTGGGAAAAGCATATAATGTCTGTGCTTCATTTTGATGATTTGAAGAAATCAGTAAATACATTAGATATTAGGTATTTACATATTATGAATGCATCTTGAACTCTTCTCCTTCACATTTCAGAAGCGTCAAAAAGTATTAAAGAAATGTGAAAGGTTTTTGTGACCATTATGATTTGATGCACAGGTAAATTCTACAGAACACTGAATACAGCAATTTAAGATAAAAGACACACTATATGCATAAAGAAAAACAGAGAACCTCACCAAGAAATTTCAGAGCCAGTCACATTTTTTCTGGTAAATTTTTCACTATACATTTGCCTTAAAAACATACTTTAAGCTTTATATTTATTCCTGACGTCACTTGTCTTTTTTTTTCCTGCCAAAACCCACTACCTATTGACCTGTATGTGGCTGTTATTTATTAACCATTGTTCATTGATTACAATTTGTTATCAGTTATGTAATTTATGGTGATAATTGCCACAATAAATGTTTGTGCTATCCAGATGTCCTTATATAAATAAACATATAAGAAGTTTGACTGCACACCTTTTTATTTGATTTGGTATTACTTAATAACAAGTCTTGATCTCATACTACATATTTGACCCTCATTCAATTTATAATTTACATCATTTTAAGTCTTCATCAATGAAGTTAAACACTTATATTTTTGTAATTTCGCCATATTTTGTAATTTAAAACATACAACATAACTGTCAATTAAGAATCCTGTATTAAATAGTGACAGAATTCTTCTTACATAATTGTTATGCTGTAACCATGTTCTTTGTGTAGTTGCCAGTCTATATTCCACAACCCCCACAACATAATTGTCCTTTAACTGTTTGACTCTTTACTGTTTTTTTCCAATTTTATGTAATAGGAACAGTAGGGGGCATTGAGAGCTTTAGATGCTGGATGTGGCTCGATATGATGCTACTTAACTGCATTTTAAAAGTGTAGAATGCAGTTCAATGAACTTACAGTATACCATATTAAATTCATTATTTCATGTAATATACATTTAAGCATCATGAGCTTGTCATTTACTTCGTTTGTTGTTCATTACTTTCACTTAAGTTTCTAGAAGGATTTTGTCTACACAGAATTTTAGTAAGATAGGTGAAAAGCAAGGGTTTATTACAAATTGGTTGCAATAATTTTTAAATCATGAAAAAAAAATTATTTTCTTAGACTGAAAACAATTACAAACAAACCAACCAGGGAAAAAAAAGTCTGACTTGAGTAGAGTATTTGCTGTGGTGAAAAAGTGTAATGAGAAATGGCTATCCTTCTCTCCAACTTTCAGAAGAAAAAGGAAGGAAGAAAAATAGGCCAGGATTTCTTATAACCTGTAGCTTCAGTTCCACAGAGGTGAGAGAAGTTATGAGAGCTATGAAGAGTCACCTGCCTTATAGAGCCTATCGGTAAATAAGCAAAAGCCTCAGAAGCCCACGGGCTCGTAAGAATGTACAACAGGTATTAGAGCAAGGATGCCACTTAGGTGTTATTTGAGGATGTGTGGGTGGAGGTGGCTCTATAGCAAGATGGCATTTCCCTCTTTTCTTGATACAGATAGTATTCTCCTGTGCAGAGTGCTAATTAGCAGGGGAAAGTAGGTGCCAGTAAAGTAGTCCACATACTAAAGCTGGCCATTGTCCAGAGTGGAACACCAAGGAATTTACAAGGTCAGAAAAACTCCGTACGCTTAACTTCCAAGTTTAATATGATCAAGGTTCCCTTAAAATCCTTAAGGTGTAACATTTCTTGTGAGGCTTGCTCACACATTTTCTATTTTTTTTTGGGTAAGATAAATAGACAGCAAGCTGACCTGTTTGAGTTAGTGCAGTATATAATCAGATGTATCCCTGCTTATTTGCTCCAGTAATCAAACCTGACAGCACATCTAATCAAGCTCAAGAATATGCTAGAAGTCTGAATGTATATGTGGCATTTTCTGTCAGTTTACAATCTCTTCAAGAAATGGCTAACATGAAATCAGAAAGTTGCTTTTTGTTTTGTTGCATAAATAAAACTGAAAAAAATACTCTCCTTGGCAAAAGGTAATCCTACAATTCAACTGGTTTCATCCTACAAAAAATAGCTAATGAGAATGAGGAAGTTGGAGAAATTCTTAATCTGCAACTCAAAGCACAGAATGACAAATTTTGGGGTTTGTGTTTTTTCTTGGATGAGTCAGAGTATTATAGGATTTCCCAGAAGACTGTCACAGGGGCATATTTTATTACATTATTTTCCTATATTTCCTGCACTAATGCTTGATATTCATATCATAGTTACTGTATGGATTCAAATGGCTAAGTGCATAACCTCAGATATCAAATAGATTATTCAAGGAATGGCTTCTCACACTGGTTAAGTGTTTGCAATCTAAGTCTCACATTTCTTATTTTCTAACCATCTGCCTTCTGGCCACACTAATACAGGCACTGAGAGTGCAACTCATTTGTTAGATTGTACTTTACCATTTGAGGTGCTGTAGGTTACCAGGTGTTACCCCACCTGGAGTTCATCACCCACTCCACCAGGACCTGGAAATTCTGAGCATCCTCTGTCCTACTTTCAGGTCCATGTACATATCTCAGTTACTGCAGGGGCTTAGAAAGTACTGGATTTCTGTGTTTGGGCAATTGAATCCTGCTTTACTGGTGGTCACCTGAATAACCCTGTTGGCTCCTGTGATTACAATGACCAGACCTCTGTGGAACCAAATGGTGCAATGTAGGCAATGTAGACATTAGATTTGAACCTAGAGCTGACTCCCACCTTTACATTCCAACAACAACCTGATTACCCTGGCAAATTCAATAGCTTAATGGTTACTGCTTGTATTTCACAGCCTACCTCCAGTCCTTAAATGGTTCAGCCTACTACAGATGGTGTCAAATTTTAATCACCTTCTTTCTCTTTTTAAATAATGGCCCTATGAATGGACCACATAAGAACATATAGAATAAAAACAGAAAGTGTGCCATATGGTTGACAACAGAATGCAACATACTTATACTGCCCTTACCCACTGTAATACTTTCATTATTTTTTTCTTGGTATATACGTGTCCTTTCTGCTGCACATGCATACACGCAGTCCATCTGGTTTGTCATTTATATCTGCATATCTGTTAATTTACAGTAGACTTAAAATATACCAAGGATGATAATTTTATCCCAAAGGTTTTCAGGACTTTAATATTTAATACAGTAAAAAAGACACAGAGTTTATGGAAATTTACATCCATACATAAAAGATGCATAGAGTATGTCTTCACATGATTTTTCAAAAACAAGCAGAAGATTTCTCCATACTTTTTCAATCTAATATTCTTTAGGTCAGTGCCCATGCAGAATAAAGGTATCTGATACGCTTATAATGGAATATTTTATCAGTCTTGGAGAAGAAATTACTGAAACAATGAAAAATACACTTTTTTTTAACTTGGTTATAAATTTGTCAGACCTAAAGAATATTTGCTTCTCTTTTCTGTTGATGTACACAAATATTTTTTATCACTTCACCTGTTCATTCACTCTGGAGTGTGATGGTCCATGATGGATGAGAATCTTCACAATATCTACATCCCCTCTCCAAGCAGCCAAGTGAATAGGAAAATAACCCTTATTATCTGCCACATTGGTTGATGCTTCATACTGAAGTAATTTGAGAACTATATCCCTGGAAAACAGGAGGTAAATCTAAAAATTGACAGAAAACTTATTTTATTAAGTTTTTACACGAACATACATATTACCAAAATCTTAATCCTGGATAATAATAAGAAACCCCTGTATGTCAAGAGAAACATACAAAAAGTGAAGACCAATAATTTCTAAAAATTAAACAGATCATAAAACATAGCCAAAATGTTATTAATTTTAGTGATTCCTACTTCTTATGAATACCACCAATATTATCATCAGCTCTCTGAATCTGTTTCTTTCAATAGGATCACCTGGCCACAGAATCACTTTTAGAATTTGCCAGTCCAGGCAATGTGTATGTCCCTCAAGGCAAACCTTCCAGGCATTAAAGGCAGAGAGGTACTCTTGTCCCCAGCATTGCTGAGTTCTGGAGGCAGGAAGACAAGAGGGTAGTTTTATGGACATGATTCTCACAATAAGGCTTAAGTAACAATTCTTCCTCTTCTTTAAAGCATTACCTCAAAAATAGTTTAAAAACAATTTAATGATGATCTAGCTATATATATAATATCTTCTATGAAATAACTGCTTCTATTTTCATTTCCCAGAAGCAGCTTCCTGATAGCAGTGAGGGAAGAAGTGACTTATTATAATTTTAATTCTTTTGATATTACTTTCAGTATTTTTGGTGTGACTTATCATACATTAAATGAAAGATTAGTGTAAGTTGGTATATTCCATCCCTGATTTTTAAGCACTCTCCTGCACTTAACTTCAAAAGCTAAATGTAAAAATTAACTGTGTGATATGATAATGTTATCAAGTATTTCAGAGAGTAAATAAATTCTGTCTTATTGCTGCACTTGTCATCTCAGAGTGACATAGTCAGGCTTCATTAGTTCTTAAGCTAACAGAATCTATGATCCAGTGTGGGCAGTTCTACACACATTTTTTACTGAATATGGGAACACTGACTTTGTGATTTGGCTCAAAAAATCAGTGGGGGAAGGAAGCTCAGTGTAGCCTATGTTATGTCTAAAAATTAAACCCTTGACTACAAATTAAGACAGAAGACAAATCTGAGGCAATTATTCCCCCAACCTTGATGGAACCTTATTTAATTTCCTGTTGAGAAAAAAATGTGGTGAGTTATGAGGGACTATAACCAGGTCAAAAACTCTCAGTTAACTTCAAAAGATCCTGGAGTCATCTTATCATATCTAAGCTTTGAGGAGAATCTAAGCTGGATTTTGGTTACTCCTGACAAGGTCAAATAACATGAAAACAACCCAGAAAGAGCAGCTCCACTACAGAAAGACTTTTGCTACACAGAAAGTTCCAGAAAAGTGAATCCTGAGGGAAACTTTTTAGCACACATAAGGTTTCAGAGACTTCTCATATTGTAATAGTTGGTGTTGTAATACATGGTCTAATGAAAGCTACATGCACAGTTGTTTGAAAGGGACACAAAACAAAGGAAACATAAATTGAGCTAAGTATGAGAAAATTAGCAAAAAAAACCCTCCACAGCTGAAATCTATGGATAACAATATACAGGAACTATTGGGATGAGTCAATTGCAAGATTCAAGCTACAAAACAGAACGTACATCTCCTTCATCCTTCAAGAATGCCCTGACCCACCACACTTATCTAGGGTGGTTCTTTTTTAGCACTTTGTTGGAACTTTTTCACTTTGTAGAAATAAATTTCAGAGAGAAGACTGAGAGTCCTTAGCCCAGTAACATTATTGGGCTAAGTAAAATTATTTAGGGAGACTGAGATTCCAGTGATTGCCCCAGATATGATTTAATTACTTATATAAAGCAGAATAGTTTCTGAAGGAAAGAATCTACCTCAGAATCTATCTTAGAATAATGAAGGAGGAGGGAATTCATCACATACAGTGATCAAGCAGGGATTTGAATATTGGTGTCCAACAAGTATCCCAGCCAAAAATTATTGACTGGGTCATTAGGTCTTGTGCTCTCACTTTTCCTAAAAAATTTTGAAATATCTCAGTTCAACCTAATGTAAAGTGGGAAAAATTAAAACCCCCAAAATCTTTAAAGAACAAAAACTTCCCCTAAGGGGGAAGATTCTTGTGTCAAAAGATTGTACATAGTTTTGATATTGAATTTCAAGTCTGAGATCTGAAACAGAGTGTGAAGTCATTTATTTGTAGTGACTAACAAAATTACAACCACCAGGTCTGTCCAATTCTCTTGCTGACAGTGCTTGCACTGCAGCAGGAGCAATATGATGGCTTGGATAACAGGCCCTGAAACTTCATGATGTATCACGAAATATCTCATGAAGTATTTCAGTTTACTTTCATATAACAGTTTCAGTGTTTATAAAGTAATAGTTTTAGTTTGCTGCGTAACTCTCGCTTTGTTGTCAATATTAAACATACTAAACTCTGTTTTTATCTATTTAAAACCAGCAACCTCTGCAAGCTAACACTTCAGCTTTTGTCAGCCAAAAATGAGCGACAGCACAAGAAGAAAACCATAAATTATGAACAAAAAGGCTGAGTTTAACAGACCATATTAAGGACTTAGACATAATTCCACAGAAGTAAAAACATATTAATGGATGATTCTGATCTTCCTACAGAGTTCAAACTTTGGAAAATGCACAGTATCTAATTTAACAGTATTTTAACTTCACATATTTATTTAGAAGCAGCATATCCTATATTCACCAAAAGATTAAACTTTCCTAAAGACAATATGCAGGTTTCTAGAATATAATTAATGACATATCCTAAAGTATCTATGAAAGAATGAAAAAATGGTGCAATGAAAAAATTAAACACATAATTATTATGTATATCTTATGGACAGTCCAAAATCACATTAAAGTTACTCTTAATTTCAGTTGTTTTTCGAGCAGTTCCTTATCTCCCACAGAAGAATTAAGTAAAGCTTTATGTTAAAATTTTTTTTAGTGAAAATCCAGTCAGTGTTAATACCATCAATTTGCAAGCAGAATAGTTGGACTACATTAAGTGGGGCAGCTCTTACTTTGGTTACAGTGGGGTCCATCCCACTACAAATTTCTAGACTTCATTAAAATTTTCTTTCTTGTTCTGCCTTAATAATAACATGCAGTTGGCAGAATAATACACTGGAGGTAATATATAGCAGGGGGAAAATGTAACAGCAGAGGTAATACAGAACAAATAACAGGGTCTAAAACAAAATGCCTAGCAAGTTTCCAGATTTTTTTCAAATCTTACTTAAATAGTTCATATCAAACTTAAATAGTTCCCCTGCACTGATGTGCCTGTGCAGCGTCCCTCAGTGGGGTTTTGCATGCTTTCCCCTAAAATTGTTGAGATATGCATGTGGTAGCTTGGATGGACAGCAGTACCTTGGGAAAAGCTGTAAGGTCTTTTTTTTTTTTCTGCCTCCAAGTGAATAATTACTAAATATTCTTTTCATGTTACTTTTGCTTTGATAATGATTCATCTTTAATGTTCTTTTGTTTAGCAAAATTGATTTCTTAAACGTTCAACATACTATATGTGTGTATATACACACAAAAGTATACTACAAAATTTTCTGCTGCAATTTCCCAGCAATTAAAAGCACCAGAGCCACAACTAGTAACAATAATAAATTTACTCAAAATCGAGGAAGAATTTGGAAGAAAGAGTATATAATCAATAGCTTATAAACTGCATTTCCCATTTGTCATTACTACGTGCTGATACTGATGACAGTGTCAAAGCATTTTATATTAATATATCCCATGGGAAATATGACTATTTCAGTAAGTCAAAGTTTGTCAACTTTCAGTGAAAACCTCAGTGCAACGTTATATTTTTCTACATTACACAGCTAAATACCATTCTACATAAAAAACAAATGTGAGGCACTTACTTGTGTCCGTTTAAAGCTGCATGATGTAAAGCAGTATAACCTGAACTGTCTGTGCAGTTTATGTTTGGTCCTCTCCAGATGCTGCAAATAAAGCAAAATTATGAAGTAAATTCTTTGCCTTGACAAGTACAGAAGTGTCAGAAATCTGATGTACAAATAATCTAAAGATCTCTGCAACAAGTGCGATTAAAATTTAAGAGATTAATTACCTTGAAAAAAATATAAAATAGCAAATGTCATCTTGATATCAATATAATTTATTTATAAAAATAATTTTACACATTCATTTTTATAGTAGTCATGAACTTTATGTAGGGCAGTCTTAAAGACTAATGACTCTTCTGTCATTTCAATTAGATCTGTTCTCCCTCTATTACTCTGGTAATTATACTGAGGCTATAATCTGGTTTTGCACTACTTTTTCACAAGTATGTATTCATTGACTTTAGGTCAGTTAGTCTAGATTCAAACAAACACAAGATTAATGAGAACCTCTTTAAAGGGGCAGTAAACGTATTCTTTTTGCTTGACTTGATATTTTAGCTCCCATTCTAACTAACTATATTTTTTTAATAAATTAAATATATCTTTAAAATAAGTCAATTAAATTATGTTTCTTCTTTTTTTTTTTTCCTTTTGTTATCTTTCTGTATTTTACAATCAGCTTCACTATATGTCTGGTGTAACCAGTTTCAGCACCTATTAGGGACTCTTCAAAAACCAGTAAAGGAGATATTTTGTTTCAACTTTGAAAAACATGGCTGCTAATCTACCAAAACCAACAACAAAACCAAATACGGGACACTGGATAACAGAAACATATTGAATACCTGCAGGTTTTTTCTAAACTACTACGTTTGAAACTAACTGTGTCCTTTGTAGAAACGATTTATTCTGTATCACAGTTTCCAATCATTAGTATTAAAATTTCCAAGACACAAAATTATAAGCCCTGAATTACAATCTTATTTCTTTAGTTTCTAATACAGTGTTAAACAATCACTGGCAAGCCACGTTTTCTCTTTGCTTTGCACCTTAGAATCAAGTGCTGTAGTTTAAAGAAAACAAGCTGACGTAAACAGGTAAAAGGAGTTCTTCATACTGACATTTTTCATTATCTACATGAACAAAATGACATGGTATGCTTAACATATGTTTCTTAAGAATTATATACTAAAGAATCTGTATTTTACTACCTATAAAATGGAATATATGTATATACACACACACAGTAAGGAATACTGATGTTAGACTGTACATCAATACATCTCTTTTTCATTGTGTGTGTTTGAATGATTCATTAGCTCATAAACTTAAGCAGTTGTTTTCCTGCAAGTAATACTGTGTGCATACAGAATTATTTGGGTGATACACTGTGTTCTGCAGTGAGCATAATTCTACATAATGCTAGGTATCTCACCTCTCCCTGCAATTTAATTTCTTGGAAGAACAGAATTGAATTATTTTCTTAGGCGCAAAGAAGAAAAAAAATAGCGAACCTTCTTTAAAAATCTGCTCAGACACTTACAGATGTTCTTTTCTACAGAAGGCAACTTCCAGCTAAGAAAAGCCACTCTAATCTTTTCAATTAAAGGAAATTATTTTAATTTCTTGAAATAGTAAAAACTGAGTCCTCAAACTGATAGCTTCTCTGTAATAGACAGGTGTGATTTATATGGCAAAGAAAAACTGTCTTTATCTACTGGAAGAAGTTCTTATCTATTGATACTCTATAACCTTTCATGCTTTTGCATAATTTTTATTCATTATTTTCTTATTTATTGGATTATATTTCCATCATTTTATTTATACCAACTTATAGGAGAATGAAGAAAAAAAAAGTGGTATAGAAAGCAGTATTTTAAATATTCAAAAAATACACAAACAACCAGAATAAAATTTACTTGGTTTTGCTAGCTTGATTGCTTTGGCTTACAGTTGTTAGGACTTGTCTGTTGGGTGTTTTTTTCAAAATGCAGGGGATCCATGAGTTCATATATTATTCATGATGCACTGGGCATCATGAATAATATTTTTAAAAAGCATTAAAAAAAATTAAAGAAAAACTAAAACAAAAAAAACACACACACACACAAAAACAAAAACAAAAACACCACCACCACCCCCCCCTAAAAAAAAAATCTGCATTTTTTCTCCACTATTTTTCTACTTTAATTCATGTGTTATTTAAGACATTATTGTACTTCCTGAGTCTGGTCTCAGGAAATATGTTTCAACTGAAACTATACTGATTTAAAAAAAAAAAAAAAAACAGTACTCTGAAACTTTAATAGTGAGTATATAAATGCACCTATGTGACAGCTCCTCAGGACACCCAGGTTGGGAGGCTGAGAGACAAAGGACAAAAGACAGTGAGTAAACCCTGATGACTCAGAGACACAAGACAGGATGGACAAACTAATCACTGTCAGCTCCCAAGACGTGCCCAAAATCACAGCTTGGTTAACAAACTAAAGAACGCAACAAACACGAGCAGGACTCGGCTACAAGCACCTCTTTTCCCTTGGTCCAGTGCACAAATTCCCTCCTAGGTTGTCTTGCATTGCTACATTACTGCAACATTATTTCCGACAAATGGAATGCAGGTCCAGCATACACAGGGCCTATCTATTTATGCCTTAGCAACTGAGAATCAAAGTCAAATTGGACAGTCTGTGAATTCAAGTTCTTACACTCTAAGACTTCCAGATTCATCTAAATTTCTTCTCTTGCAATCGGATTACAGCAGGGCAAATGTCCAGTTGTATATTAGCTCCATAAAAAGCATCTGGCTTCAAAGAAGAGTGGAGATTGAAAAAAATCCTAAAGAGCCCTTCATTGATATCATAAACACATACCGTTTGTGAAGAATTATCAAATATATTGATTTATCTGCATATTAAAACACCTGTGAAAGCAACACTAAGGAGAACCTGGCACAAAATAAATACCATTCAACCACCAGAAAAGGATATTTATTGACAGAAGATTAGCAGCTCTTTAGAATACTGTTAATATTGAATGTTCTCAACAACATGTTTTTTCTAATATTTTGATGCAGTCAATAATCAAACTTCTTAAATTGGCATGCATTAGTCAGTTAGGAATTTGTCTTCCTATGTACATCAGTAAATTACGAAAATCTTCCTATCACTTATTGAATTTTAAGAAAGTAACTGAACCTACTTTTTGTGCAGAAAATTAATTTTTATTCAACAATTAATTAAAACATTATTATCAATTAGTTTCTTCCATTTCATCTTGCCAAAGTAAGGTACAAAGAAACTGAAGTCTGTTATGCTATTTACATTATTGCCAAAAGCAGAGATCTCCTTATTACAGTCTGCTCTCACTGTGGACAAAGAATACTGACCTTTTGAACTGACATCAAATATTAATTGAAAATACTCTTTACTTGGCAAGAAAATTAGTATTTTTTCTTTTTTTTTTAATGAGCTGAAGATAATTACATATAAAGAGTAGTATTTCAAAAGAAACATGAAAATAACAGACTAAAGAAAAAGATGATTAGATTAGTTGATTTATTTTTTATTTTGCTACATTTTTTGCCACATGGAAAGAAATAATTGTGAAGTGGCTGTTGTTAAACACATAAAAAAACAAAAGTAAGGAAATCAAAAGTTCATTCAGCTAATCATCACACAGGCACACTCTCCATCACCAGTGTAAGAACTATGCATGCAAGATATGCATAATTTTTCCATCGCATTTCCTCTTTGTTCAAATACCTTCATCATATTATTTCATTATCATTATAATATGTCATCGCTATTTAGTTATCCATGAACTAATACTTCTGGTCTTTATATGGTAGTTTTGCTAAAGTCAAAGGAAAATATTTTTGGTAAACAATGATAAAAGTCTTTAAAAGCCTTAGAAAGCTGCCTGATGACTGTCTGCCTGCCCATTGGTTTTACTAAGCCTTCTCTGACAATTAACTTTGGAATTTATTTATTCTCTGAAATGAGGCAGCAAGGAGGAGGATGACACTGGATGGAATCAGTTGCTCCAGAGAAGATTGAAAAAGCATGGTGTTCAAGCCTGCATACTTTAGGGTCTAAACCCTGTTGAGGCTCACAGAGCCTGATCCTCACCCTTCCCACTCCTCACCTTCTCTCCTAGGTCCTCAGTATTTTTGGAAGCTCTTCCTAGAGACACCCTGGTTTTTCAGTTCAATAGAAGTAGTGAATCTCATCTTGCCCAGTCAGTTTTAATAGTGGGAAATTTTAAGCTTTGTTCTCTTTCCATTGATGTCGGTGGCAAACATCAACCAGATATATCTAGTTTCCTCATTGTTCCTCTGTTCCATGGAATAAATACCTATTACAGGAACTTGTGTTATTCTTTATATTACAGGAGAACTTGTGTTGGGCCAAAATCTTCCGAAATTTCCATGTTTACTGTTAATCCGACAGAAATACATTGGCTAAAGTTATTTGAGCCCACAACCAGGCTACTGTATTCATTAGTGCTCTGCCTACATTCAGACACGTGTTCAGTTGTGTCAGCTGAACTTACACAAAGTATGTGGACAATTTTACAGAGAATTTTTGAAAATGCAAACTTCTACACAATAATATGTATCATCAGTCAGACATACAACAATAATGGCACTTACTGTGAATATCAGAAAAATAGCTCCCATTCTCTATTTTATGCACAAGTATACCAAATGGACAACTATCTTGCTCTAACCTATACAAATTGATATTGTTACTTATCAAATATAGAAGAGTATCATTTTAGTAAATGTGGTACAAGAACTACAGGTATAGGCTATATTTCGTAAGCTTAGCATGGGAACATAAAACTACTGTTGGATGACGGCATTACAGGTAAATGGAGGTAATTAAAGGTAAATGCAGCTTCCACTCTTCTTTTGCAATGAAGACTTCCAGAGCTAAAGGAAATTCTCCCATGCAGCATATGTGTAAGATACAAAGATTCTGCTCAGGTATTTCAATTCCCTTACCATCAAGGAATTACAGACTTCAACTTGGAAACTTGAAGAACTAGTCAGGACAAGCTAAGAAAGGAGTATATTTGATCCCTTATTAGAG